TTTTGCAATTAGTTCTTAAAAACAGAGAATATATACGTCTGTTGCCAAATACCAAAGTACACTAAGACCACGAGGAACTCATAAGGGGATGTCGACATGTGATTTGACTGTTTGACGGTTTTTCGTTTGTGATTCTTGACCTTAATATTGAAAGTCAAACATCACAATTGTTTTAGATTGTATATGTTACTGCCAATTTCGGGATATGTGCAGAAAATTCTTTTTAGAATGTTTTTTAACTCGGTGTTGATTCCTTATTTGTAACTTGGAATTTCAATCAGTACCGAAAAAAACATGTAAATAAATTGTTATCACTTATTAGTAACATATGTGATGATAGAACTATTTTTATGTGAACATACACTACGGTCTGGGCCCCTCTGGGGCTGTCTACAATCATGTATGCTCATATGAAGCTTATCATATCCCCATGGTACTTACAAATAGAAATATTTATTTCTTTGGTTCATAAATTAAAATAAAAAAACTTTATTGAATCTTGACTTTATTTTCAACTTTATTCATGTAACTAGAAGAAAATTCAAGCAATGCACATATGTGATGTTGTCAATAATAACACATGTTATTGATAAAATAAAATTGTTTAAACAGACCGTTTTTTTGCCATATAAAAATAAGATGTGGTATGATTGCCAATATGACAACTCTCCACAAGAGACCAAATGATGTTGAAGTTAATAGCTATTATAGTTCACCCTACGGCTTCAACACGGAGCAAAAGCCCACACCACATAGCAAGCTGCAAAGGGCCCCAAAATGATGTTTTAAAAAAAATCAAATGTAAAAACCAACGGCCTGCAGATTTCTGTACAAAACTATAAACAAACAAAAAATTAACAAATAAACAGCAACAAACGACAACCAGGGACAGACACATCTAGAAATTGACATTGAAGGTCGGTTGAGAACTAAATTTTACGACAGAAAAGATGATTTCAGCTTTCAAATTGTGAACTTTCCATTTCTATGAAGCAACATTCTAGCAGCGCCTGCATTTGGAGACCATATCTCCAAGTTGATACGATATTCCAGAGCTTGCATTTCCTATCATGATTTCCTTGATGGAGGAATGCTGCTTACAAGAAAGCTATTAAAGCAAGAGTTCCAAAAGGTGAAGTTGAAATCATCCCTTGGAAAAATGTGCATTAAACATGTTAAAGAACACAGCTATGGGGAATACCAGAAGTGACATTTTTCAAACCAGAAGTAACAAATTGTCTCCCTTATAAGTTATTTTAAGCAAAAGTGTTTTGAAGGCAAGCCATATATTTTTGGAATCAGCTTTAATTAAGCTGTTTGTCACCAGCTATGTGACATTTTAAAAATCAACAAATTATAAACTATATTCAATTTGGCATAGAAATTTATCAAATTCTGTCATTAATTTCCCAATAATCTCAGCCTTCACGCTTAACTTTTGAGTCCACAAGCCAGAAGCTCAATTTTTTGAAAATTTTAGTTGGATTCTGTTGGCTTGTAGAGAAGAATTTTACAAGCACAAAAGCAATTTTACAAGCCAATGCCGTAAGTCTTGTGGTTAAAAGTGAAGACTGCAATCTCACAACATAATACAGAAACAAAACAGACATTTAGGTAGCCAACCATCCCACATGACGTTAAGTGATAACTTGGTAGAAAATAATAAAATAAGTACATTTGTAAATGTAGTGGACACCATAACCAATTCTATTTTTACAAATTGGCAAAAAGATTGAAAACATTTCAATAAAACACATCAGGAAAATTGTCTAAAGAAAATTAGTTAAATACTCTAATAGATAGCAAAATTATCTCCCCTTGACCACTGACCCTTTCCTCATGCATTTGAACTATTATTTTATGTTTCTTTAATCACTCTGTAATGTTTATGTCATGTTGTTATTAATGTTATGCTCTTCATGGGCCCTTTAATTTGGAAAATAAAAATATTGTATTGTATTGTATAAAGAATAAATAATTTTAATATGTCAATACTGTAAGACCAAAGTAGCATTTGGTACCAAATATATAAATCTTGCATACAGTCCTCCAAATTAGCACAGGACTGACAGGACATGTCCTGTAAAAATATTTGGCCCTGTCGATTTTTTGATAATTTTTTAATACATTCCTAAGAAAAATTGGAAGAATCATCAATTCGGTCCTGTATTGGCTGTAAATGCCAAACCCCAATTTCTATGACTGCATACACTTCAAATAGTTTGAATGAAAAAACAAACTTTTACATAATGAATTTTTCCACATAATGGGTCATCCATAATTGTCAACCATTTTCCAAAGTGTACAAAACGTACACTTGGGGGGAAGGGGTTAAAAAATCAACATTTTTACCGTACGCTTTTTTTTTTATTTCTGGAATTTTTTCGTCTGCTGGGTTTCGTTTTTTTATTACCGCGATGGAGCCACTTATCATCTATGCGTTTGAAAATAACGTGAAATTGTACATTAAAAGTAGCATCACAGATAGGTGTCATCAAATAAAAGTCAGATATATTTCAGTTTATTTTCAATGCAGATTTCTATATTAAACTAAACTATAATAGACAGGGTCTTCTTTTTATTAAGAATGATTGATTCTTGTCTCGAAATCTGAAAATGGTTGGTGTACACTTTTTGAGGGAGGGTGGGAGGTCGGAAAAAGTGTATGTTTTGTACACTTTGGAAAATGGTTGACAATTATGGATGACCCCTAAGCGATATCAATGATATTCCTTCCTGAGTTTTTCACAGATATCAAAGGATTAGTAATTGTTCCAATTGTCATGTCTACAATCTTATGTTCTTTACCTCTATTGTTACATCACAGAATAAAACTTTCACCAAATTTGTACTTGCCATTAGCAAAAACAATGGGTGCCACATGTGGAGCAGGATCTTCCTACACTTCTGGGACACCTGGAATCATTTGTGGGTGGGGTTTGTTTTATTCAGTCTTAAACTTTCTATATTTTGGGGACTGTTCTTTTGTCTTTTTCTAATTGTTGGCTTTTCCTTAATTTATGATTTTTGTTTGTCCTTTCAGTGTTTTCTGCCTTTTCAAAATTACTTTGCAGCTGAACAGTTTGGTACCAAATATTAAAACATCTGATTAAGACACTTGTTTATTATCATAAATTATCTTTTAATGGTGTTTTGGGGTTTCTGTCTAATTGGCTAATAACCAACATCTCCTTTTGAATGAATACAGTGATGGTATATTGTTGCTTTTTCTTCTTGCATGCATGTATAAAAATTTTGAACTTTGGTAGATAGTTGTCTCATTGGAAATCATACCACATCTCTTTTTTTTTTATTAACCAATTTAATCAAAGAATATGAATTATGCAAATTGTATGACGTATGAAAACAAAAGGTGAAAAGAAATCTGTTCTTTTTTTCATTCTGTAACATGCATCAGAACGACAAGATAATGCAATAAACGTTTTTAAATAGCATTGATTATACATGTACATGTATATATAAGGACCAGTAAGGACTAATTTTGGCCTAAAATTTGAAGTACATCTGATGAAAGATGTTTGACATTTTTCAAACACTTAAGTATCTACTTCAGTCGATTCAATTAGTTTGTGTAAAACATTTGAACTGATTTTGTCATTCAAGACGCTCAAATTCATGCTTGATTATAAAAAATCTATCAAATATAACATAAAACATCACTTTTCAGATATTATTTTTTTGTCTGAAATGTAAGTGGCCACATTCGTGTTCACTCTCAACCTTTATATACATGTATCTTATGTATTATCATTAAATACTATCAAGACTGAACACAAGTGTGGCCACTTCCATTTAAAAAAAAAACATCTAAATATTACATGTAGCACAAATGCTAAAATTGTGAAGATTAAAGTAATTTTGCATGAATTAATGATGCTAGTACCTGATGCAAGTGCATTGTTTTGTTTAATAACAGCCCATATTTAAGTAACAAAAGTATTCTTCTTTCCAAAAATTAGCTAGATAGATAAGTTTACATTTATAACAAATACGTAAAAATGCTATATTTTGAGGCCAAAAGGGGGTCTTACTGGGCCTACTCCTTAAAACTATATTGATAACTTTATTATACAAAATGTCAACAGAATATGTGCAGGACTGTTTTTTTATCAGTGCAAAAAAAAAATTGCACTTGTTAAAAAAAACACTTTGATCAAAATGTTCGAATTCATATTTGATTCTAAGCGATTAAAAAAAACACCACTTATTCTTCTCATTAACTTAATACAGAGAAAAAGACCTCAAAATGGCTTCTTTTTATATGAAGGTCACCAAGGCCAGATATTTTTATGACCTATATAATAGTAATGAATTAATGTGTGGAGAACCAATCACAATCCAGAACATCACAAAAACGAAATCTTTTATTTTATTAAAACAAAAAATCCTCTTTATACTAGATTTTAATTCTAAAAATCATTGCCCATGTTATATTCAACGTCTGCCTCTATGTTTTCAAATATTATTTGAAATACACATGGATATCTCATTTTTGTAAATTCATAAAAATTTTCTATGTCAATATAAACAGTTCAAATTTAACATAATCTTGATAAAAATGTTAATCATCAAACATAATAATCTTGTTTTGTTATAAACCATTTGTTTATTGAGCTCTTTACTCGTATCTTTATTATTTGATCATCTTGACCCCATTTTCGCCTCTCGACACCGAGATCAGGCACAAATTCCATTCAGTGATAAAAAAATCGCGAGAAAAAAATCAAAACATGACCCATCTAAATTGGCATAAATTATTACACAATGTTCCTAGTCATGTTTCATGCCAGAAATTGACAACACAAACATGACTAGGGCAAATGTTGATGTCTTTGGTGTGGTCAAACTCGGACAAGCCAAAAGGTGAACTGAGAGGGCACAAGTAAACTGCGGCCATGTTGTTTTTGTGGGATCACGGTGACCGACGTACAATCTTCATGTAAACATTATATTCATTTAAAAAACAAGAAAATTCTTACCATTTGTAGGTGTAATCCAAAAAACTACATATAGAATACCAACAATATACAAACAGTGGGTCGCCATAAATGAGAAACCATGAGGATTTATAGGAGTTTACATTGTTGTTGTGTAAAAGCTGCGAGCTGTGCATGAATACACGCACTGAACCGTGTCACAACCCGTAATCTTTTAGCCTTGCGCTGTTGATTGAGATTACCGGAAAGTACCTCCGGATTATCGTGAGAAAGATGAAAATAGGATAAACATAGGGTTATGAAATAATTTACACTATTTGTTTGTGACAATTTATTTTATAAACAGTCATAATAGCATTGAATCATAATCTGTAAGCATGCGCAAAATATTGTAAACATAAAATAAGCAATACACAAATATTTGGGTGTGTCTGTGTAATGGAACAGCTCGGTGATATCGGGTCAAACTACTGTACTGTTGAAGTGACCATGTAACTCAACGACGTTGCTAATTTCGCGAACTTAATTCTTGAAACCATCGAAATCATCCAGCAATGTTATTCATGAATAAAATACAAATCAATGCACTGGATTTAAAATTACAAATGTGATTTGTAGGTCCATTCATAAAATTCTTTATCGGACTGTTTTTACAACTATTTTTAACAGGTATACCTACCTCGGGGTACCCACTAGAGCCAGCATTGTAGATATGTATATATTTATATTATTTTATAAAGACTGTCAAATTAGATTTATCTGGTACTTAGTTTGATTTGAGGAGCCAGCTTATTTGTAGTGACTTACATTTTTTTTTAGATGAACAACACTGATTGAATTTCTTATTAATTTCACACAATAGTAGAGTTAGCAGTCTGAATATTTGGTTCATTGGTGAAAACGCTTTTGATTCTAGTCATTCCGATTTCGGAAAATTGGGACAAGAACTGTCGCATTCGGAGTGATGCATCTTATTTTTGTCTTTTTTTTTCTCAGTCAAGCAAACGTGCCGTTTTGCACAGATGTGCTGCACTAATCTCTGTTGACCTTTAATAAAAGTATTATGAGCTTATTTTTGTGTGTAACGATTCCTTTTATATAACGTGCAAAATCAAACTCGCTCTTTTTCTGACAATTTAGAACACGTAGAAGAAGAATAAGAAGAACTTTAGACATCTTAAACTTCGAAATCACATACTTTTTTATGCCAACTCAATTTTCCACAACCATCTGCACGAAAGGACAGTAACCCAGGGGTGGATTTAGGGGGGTGCCCGGGCCCCCTTGTGGAGTTTCATTTATGGTTAATCCAGACTTTTTACCGCTACCATGTGATATTGCTGATCCTTTTTTAAGCAAATTTAAACGACCAGCTCTTTCCTGTTTTTCAGTTTTACTTGGTGTGATTATTTCTAAGTAACTCGCCTCTGGTAAAAAATATCTAAATCTTTAAACGGTGCCGAATCATTTACAAATTCTCACTGAAGAGCAAACTGAGGCCAAAGCAACTGGCTCTTTACTTTATCAAAAAACTTAGCTCTTATTCCTTTGCTTTCTGTGTGTGTTTTTTTTTGTTGTTGTTGCTGTGCATGTATTGATTTTGTGTCATGGATGGATAACCCATAATCTTTGTTTTTATACGAACGGAAAAAAATTTGCGGTCGTATATTGGTATCACGTTGTCGTCGTCGTCGTCCGAAGACATTTGGTTTCCGGACAATAGCTTTAGTAAATGTAAATAGAAATATATGAAATTTAAACACAAGGTTTATAACCACAAAAGGAAGGTTGGGATTTATTTTGGGGGTTATAGTCCTAACAGTTTAGGAATTAGGGGCCAAAAAGGGGCCCAAATAAGCATTTTTCTAGTTTCCAGACAATAACTTGTGGAACGGTGTATGGATCTCTCTGAAATTATATCACAAGTTTCCATACCACAAAGGGATGGTTAGGATTGGCTTTGGGGGTTATGGCTCAAACCGTTTAGGAATTAGGGGCAAAAAAGGGGGGGGGGAAACAAGGGTTTCCTGGTTAATGGACAATTTAAAAGCAGTGTAAGGGAGGTATTCCAAAAACATTTAAAGTACAATGTTGTGTATGTTTGGTTTAACCTCCCTTACACTTCTTTTAAATTATGTATAAGAAATGTTGTACTGTCTTGAGGTGATTAGCTGTCAATTTATTTTTAGAAGTTACTATTAAAGGAATATTAATTTGAAGACTTTTATGATGTATTTAAATTGGTAATTATGGTTTGCAAACTCCATTTGTAGGGGGGGGGGGCAATCTTTTCTCATTTCAGATTTCAGAAATTAAAAAGAAAATTTCTTCAAATATTTTCTTATTGCAAAAAAGGGGGGGGTAATTTTTTTTTTTTGGGGGGGGGGGGGGGGGGGGGGGGGGGGGCAATTCGCAACAGCATAGTGTATTGCACAAAAGCAAAAAATTGAATGAAAATTCAAATCATATAACCAATTCTAAGTTCTTTGACTACAGTTATTCTGTGTCAGAAACCTATTATGTGTCAAATATTTAATTACAATCCAAATTCAGACCTGTATCAAGCGCGAATATTGTGACCATTTTTGCCCCAACTGTTCAGGGTTTGACCTCTGCTGTCGTATCCAGCTGCGCTCAGCGAAGCATTTTATTCTATTTGTTTTCTTTTTCTTTCTCTTATATATAGATCTTTTATCATCATTATCTGAACTCTGGACTTAAATCTGAGCTATCAGAAATTTTATTCTTTCCCAAATTCTTTCCAATGTTTTAACTGCCTAGTGATGTTCGTAACTTGAATCGATAACTTGATCAAGGAGAACTAATTTGGACACATTTTTTTGTCATGTATTTAAATACATGTATTTAATACTCGAACTGTCTCAAATCATTCAAGGTTGTTTCTCTGTCTTTGGGCAACTTGTATGACAGCTTTATCAGAAATTGATTCTTTCTTTTTTGACTTCTTTGACTTAAATGGAACTTGTATTATTCGAACCTTTCTCCTTCTTTAGCTATTGCTGTTTTCTGTTGAGTTCTTCTCTAAGGTTCTTTTTTTTTTCTTTCTCCAATTTCTAATTTTTTTACTCGTCATATGTTGTCTTCAAAGCAGTGTGCAACTTACTTAACTCTTCGTCGATAACATCATCTTCGTTGAAGGTACGATCTAAGGGAGCTACCGTTTGATTTTTAGGGGGGCGGGGGCTAGGATGAAATTTGAAAAAAGGCAGGATAAGCAACTTAGCAAAAAAAAAGGCAGGACGACAATGTATGTAAAAAAGTCAGGATAAACTAATAAAAAAAGGCAGGACCGAATAGAGTGAAAAATAAAAAAGCAGGACAGAGATTACAACCCCCCCCCCCCCCCCCCCCATAAAAATCAAATGGTAACTCCCTAAGCTGATAGCCTGGTCTAACTTTTTTCTTAAACTACTCGGAGTGTTCATCTCAGGTTTTTCTTCCTTTCCTTCTTCTTTGTCAGTAGTATTAAAACTGGAAGCTTCCAGAAAACTATATTCGGATAAACTTGTGTAGTTAGTACCAGTAATAACTCGCCGAGGTCTATCAGCCATATTCAAACAATTTTAAGAAACCAAAATATAAATGAAATTTTGTAAGTCAAAGTTGCACTCAAACAAATTCTAACTGATTAACTTTAATAATCATCAACAAATTTATTAGAAAGGTCTAAGGGACGTAACTAGAAAAAGCAGATGAAATTTGTGCTGCGTAATTACTTGATTTTGAATAAAAACGAAGCAATAGTACAGTTAGCAGTCTGAATACGAACTACCCGTGAACGATCATTACGTTGATAGTTCATCGTGGAGATAAGTAAACTAATATTAAATCAAAAATTGTTAACTATAGCTCCATAGAGTCTTATAAATACTTTCGTTTTGATTTGATCGTTTAACATGTTTACGTTTTTTTATTGTTCTATCCGATTTTTTGTTAATTTGTTCCCGCGATTTGTTCTAAATGCAAGTATATATGCACACAATATTAGGCACTGGAGTTAAGCAATCGATCAACCAACCGGCAATCATTTGAAAGGTTGAGTATCTTTTCTTTGGGTAAGACCGAGTTGCAGATATCATGGGCGATAACACCGTGTATAAAACAAACTTAATTACAAAGCCTTCATGACAAACAAAGGCGACACTATCCCAGTGAAACTTCCTCTTTTAAGGATTGGATCTGGTGTCTCTGTTCTAACATGCTAGGCGCATGGTCGTCAAAGGATTGTATACAATGGTTGTAAAAAATCAAATCTGTGTACAGACGATTTTGAGGGTGGAAATTACTATGACATTGTTGGTTAAACTATATAACAATACCCTTATTTATCCCATGAGCACATAATGTAGCAAGGATATACACAAAGTGCATTGTCCAACAGACAGTACCTAGCGTAGAGAGCGCTCGTTTGCCGTAGTAACTAGAATAGTGCCAAACGAGTTACAGCTAGTCAGAATGAAATCTCTTCTATATGATTCTATATAAAAAAATAGTAGAAAAGAAATTGAAAATAATAGACCAGTGAGTATAAGTATTGGTGATAAAGATGTAAAATAGTTCGAATCATATTATCAGGAAGAAAACAGCTTGTAAATGGTAATGAGACCGAATCTGAACTCCATAATATCTTCTTCCAATACAGTGCAGTCCTCTAACTGAGTATTATCGCACTATTGTCCATGCTGGGTGTGACAATGCAAGAAAATATTTACAGGTGCAAGTTAAAAACAATTCGATGGTGCGATAAAGGACTGTTGCAGCTCAGTACCCTTGCATGAAAACATCTAGTTAAGTACTATCCACCAAAGGTTGTGGAAGGCGGTTCCTTATCCGTATACTGTCTGGGAAGAAGGAATGTCTGTATGTTACATACATATGGACCCCCACCCCAGAAGTATGCTTGGTCTTTTGTTTTTTCTTATTCTTATAATATGTCCATATGTATCCAATCTGTCTGAAAACTCTCGCTGATGACAGCACCATACTATTTTCCCATAGAGACCCCATCTGGTCTCTTGTGGTGACTGGCACGTTGACAACAAGCTTTCATTACATTTAGGCAGAACATAATGTATTCAAAATGATCTTAGGACCAAAACAAAAACTAAAAAAGCAACAAATTTTGAGGTAAAATGTAACTATCATGTAATAAA